TGGGCTGTCCCCGCCCAGGGCCTGGGCCTGGTCCCCGCGCGTACGTAGGCTGTTCTGCAGGAGTGTGTGACGGGGAGACACGGCGCGTGTGTGAAGGGTGCGCGGCGCGCCCCGATGTGGGTGTGTCTGTGGGTGGTGAGTGGCTGAGCCCGCCCGAGCCCATCCAGCCGGGGCGCGGGGAGCGACCTCGTGTGCGGGTGTTGCAGCCGTGAGTGTGTGTGTGACCCTGCGGGGCGGCACTGCAGGCCGCTGTTCCCGAGCTCCAGGAGCAAGGCACGCTCCCCGGGTCCTGATCTGCGGCCCTGGAGGCTACAGAGCTGCGCACTCCTCCAGGGAGCGCTGCTGAGAGGCGTCATGGAGACCCCGGCCCTGAAGCTGGAGGACACGGGTACAGTTTCGCTCATTTAGTCGCTGGGTGTGTGGACTTGCATTTGAGGAGGCTGACGCTCCTAGAGGTCGGGCTAGTCTCCCAGAAGCACCAGCCAGGGTGGCCTGCTTTTTCGTCGTGCAGCGTTTGTTCCCACTGTCAAACATGCTGATAGGAGGCAAGCAATGGCAACGCCTCCTCGTACAGTATCTGGGACACTGAGAGGCACAGCTAATCCCCGATGCTGTATTTGACTCTGCCAGATATTGAGACCCACTCCTCTAGACATGCCTGAGTGGTTCCTGCCTTTTCTAATTCCTGTCCGTGCCTGGGCTGGGTAGGCTTTACCTGGGTGGTGGCTGTGGGAGAACAGCCCCTTTGATTCATTTCTCCATCCCCAGCTCTCTTTACTGAGGACCCTGCTCTTTCCCTCAAAGAGAATCCAGAGAATAAATCAAGTTGGGGTCTCCTGGAAGCCAGATCTGAGGTGAGTGGCTCTTTTCTTCCCCTTGTTCTTGGATCTGCAGTCAGCCTTGGACCCCCACCTTGGAGCCAGCTTTTCAGTGCTCAGGAGCTTCTGGGCAGTGAGAACAGCTCCAGCTGAAGACAGTCAGGATGACACCCCGGGTATCTGCGTGAGATGAACTCTCATTCAGTTTGATGGGTGGATCAGTTGCCCGGACCTGTATGCCAAGAAGTGTTCTGGGAGCTCTGAGGGGTGATCAAGTAGATGCCAGTTTACAGGAAGTCATTTTGCTCATCTCCTTATGCTGACCAAGGCTTGTTGCAGACCCAGGGGATGTCTTGGGGGGGGCGGTTGTTGGCATGGAATCAGGCGAGGGGATTTGGAAGCGCTGGAGTGAGAGATGGTAGGGATGCGTCGCTCTGTGCTTTCCCATGTACCAAATCTTGGCATAGGGCTTTCATGGAAAAACCTGGAGGTTTAGAGAATCCGTGGGGTCAATTGGGAATTAGCCCTAGGCCATTTCTGCTGATAAGTGAGGCCCAGATCTCTTCTTTACAGCTGAACTTTGCTGCTCATCTTTTTCTGCCCCCAAAACTACCCCTACCCTATGGTAGAATTGACAAGAGTATAGTTGACAAGGAGAATCAAGGGGTAGTGAGATGAGGGTTGAGGGCCTTTTGAATGCATTTTAGGAGTTTGTGATTCAGTTCATCTTCCAGCTGAAAGATGTGAGAGCTGATTACAGAACGGTAGAACACCAGTTTTACAGAAAGCTGTAAAATTCATATTGAGAGACATGCCTAGCTTCTGGGATGTTAGAATGATCTGTAATTCTGTGAAACACTCAAAGAAACATGACAAAGGTAATGCATGAAGCAGGGTATGGTGGTACACTCCTGTAATCCCAGCATTTGGGAGGCTGAAGCAGGAGGATCTTGTGAGTTCAAGGCCAGCCTGGGCTACATGGTGAGACACTATCTCAAAAAACAAAACAACGAAAGCACCTACAACCTAAAAATTTAAAAGTAAAAATAAATATATGTCTGAAAGTAAGGAAACTAACCCACAGGGATATTAAGTAATTAACAGTTGCAGTTTTAGAACCTAATTCCAGGTTATTTGGTGTCAGAGTCTCTGTTCTTTTGCGTTATGTCATGTGTCTTAATATCTAAATTAAACACAAAATACTGTTTCAAAATAACTTTTACTCGGTTTTACAATGTTACCTGTGATTTGCACGTTATTATTATTTTTTAAAGTCACTTTTTTTTTTTTTTTTTTTTTTTTTTTTGTACCTGGGATCAAACTCTGGCCCTTGTGCTTTTGAGGCCAGTGGTGGAAACACTGAGCTAAAATCCCTGGCACCCTGTGCCCCAATTCTTAAGTTATTCAGAAAAGTTTTAAGTCTTTTTCCCAGTAGTAAACTATGGGCTTTCAATTGAGATTGTTTTATATTACAATGTAAGGTAAAATATATTTAAACTCTAGTACTGATGTTACTGTTGGCCCTAGATACTATATATAATTGATAGGAATTCAGATGTCTGCCGTATTTTAGATAACTGTAAATAAGTAAGACTAGGATCGGGGATATAACTCAGTGGTTCTGCTGCCTGCCTGGCAAGCGCAAGGTCCCAAGTTTGATCCCTGGTACCACACACACACAAAAAATAAGACTCAGATATCAGGGATGCAAGCAAATAATTTCTTGTAAATTCACTGTGAGTTTTTTGTAAATTCAGTATGATTCCTTAATTCCTTTTTTGAGATTAAGCACTATTTTACTAATTCACTTAATTTCTTGTGATTTTTTTAATCAACTTTTTTTTTTTTTTCATTTTAGTAACTCAGTTGGATGCTAGGCATTGCAAATTTTACTTTTTTGGGTGCTGGGGTTTTCCTTTTGGAATTCTTTGAATATTTCTGGAATTCATCCTAGAATGTAAACACTTGACATCAGTTTGATCTTTTTAAGAACCAAAGCAAGTCCCAGGTGGAGTTGTGACCAGATGCTTGCCCTGACAAGAACAGGGAAAGTAGCAAGGGCTGGGGATTTAGCTCAGCGGCGCCACACCTGCCTTGCAAGCCCAAGGTCCTGAGTTCTAGCCCCTGTATTCCCCCCACCCCCGAAAAAAAAAAAGAACATGGAAAGTAGGCAGGTGTGAGTCAGGAGAGGTGGAAGGCAGTCAGGTGAGGACACCAAGTGACCTCTCTCTTGGTCTCTGGGGGCACAGAATTTACTGATATAAAGATGCCTTCATTAGGGTATAATGTTGGTTTTCAGTCTGCAGTTGGATCTTAACTGCAGTGGTACATTTTGGTTTTTTGAGACAGGGTCTATGTAGTTGAACTCACTATGTAGCCCAGGCTGGTCTCAAACTCACAGCGATCCTCCTGCCTCAGCCTCCCGAGTGCTGGAATTACAGGTGTGCGCCACGACGCCTGGCTTGCAGTAGTGCATTTTGAATAGAGTTGCTGGATTTTTTATGGTTCTTTCAAGTTTGGTTTTTTTTTTTGCATGTGAGGTTCTTGACCCCGGAAAACATAGCCTCTTGCCCAGGACGTGATAGAGCGCCCACGCACAGGTACCAGGGCACATGGACTTGCCAGGGTGCCGTGGTGTCTCTCCACCCCACTTTCCATTCCCGAAATTGTGAGGGAAGCAAATGTATGTCAGTTCTCAGCACCACCAGCCCCAGCCCTCGGCCTACTGGGGTCAGTGTTTGGTTTTTATCTTTATTGCTACATATTAGGTGTACAATACAGTTACATTTATCATTGGGATCTTGTACCTTTACATGACTTACCAGGTTATTTTTCTCCACTCCTCAGCCCTCCCCTTGGACCCTCCACCTTTCCCTGTTTATAAAGACATTGTTTCCATGTTTTTCCTCTTCACATATTTTTTCTTTTCCCTTTTTACCTTTTCCCCGCCCCTCCCACTTCCTCTACTCTTTTAGACTTTCTTCCTATTACACATTATCAATTATACATTTTAATCCTAATTTATACTTTTAATTTTTCACACCAGAGAAACGATTCGGTACTTACATATGTGTAACTTATTAATTTCACTTAAGGGTATGGCCTCAATGTGTATCCAGTCAGCTATAAATCTTTCTAGTTTCTTGTTCTTTATGGCTGAGTAGTACTCTGTTTTATATATATAAAAAAAACCACATCTTTATCCAGTATCCAGTTGATGGGCAATTGGGCTGTTTCCAAGTTTTAACTATTACCGAGGTCACTGTCTACCTTCCATGCTTGGGAGGTCATGCAGGTTAACTCTGTCCTCATAAGGTCCTTAATCTGTGGTTCCCTAGGAACCGTGGACACAGAATCACTCTTGTCCTGTGTGTATCGTTTCAGGAATCAGTGACATTCAAGGATGTGGCTGTGGACTTCACCCAGGAGGAGTGGGGTCACCTGGACTCTCCTCAGAGGGCCTTGTACCGGGATGTGATGCTGGAGAACTACCAGAACCTCGTCGCCTTGGGTAGGGTGGCTCCCAAGGCGGGTCTCTGCTCTCGGGCCTCCTTCTACATGGCAGTGCTGATGCCAGGCATGGCATGAGTTGGAAAATGAGGCCTCTGCCTCAGAACACCTGGGCCAGGGGGTAGAGCCACACCTGAAGTCCCCAAGATCTAGCAGGGTAGCTAGTGGCATCCTTACTTGGGGTTGCAGCTGTCCCAGAATGGGGAGCCCAGAGAGGAGAGCTGCAGCGGAGAGGAGAGCTGCAGCGGGGGAGGCAGGCAGGCTTGGAGCCCTTCTGCCATGAAGTTTTCTTCAGGAAGCGGAGGGAGGTGTCTCACGGAGTCTTCAGAGCATCATGTGCTACCACTTTGGTTCGGTCTCTAAGACCCCTCCACAGTTTGAGGCGCAGAGAGCTTCGTGTTTTCTGACCACGGTGCACCTTTTGTAGTAGCTCGTCCACGTTCCTGGGTTGTCCCATGAGGACAGCTAGGCTGCATAGCCGCAGTGCTCCTAGCCCTGCTGCTTTCTTCCCCATGAGCAGGGCCTCCGGTCTGCAAGCCAGATGTGATCTCCCATCTGGAACGAGGCGAGGAGCCATGGCAAGTGTACGGGGAAGGCGCGCATGGGGCTTGTTCAGGTAAGCAGTTGACCTAGGCAGAAGCGGCGGTGCTTCGGTCCCCTGGCAGCCCAGCACCCTCCCTCCCCTGCCCAGCTCAGCTCCTGCTCCCTTCCTCAGCGCCGTTGCCATCCGTGTCTTCCTCGTGTCCTTGCTAGACCACCCCCCAAGTTCCCCCTTTCCTCCTTGATCACGTGTTGAGCACCTGTGTGCCAGAAGGTGCGCTGTGAATGCAACAGAGAACAAAAGCAGCCAGAGCGCTTGCCTTCTGATGAGGGGTGGGAAGCAGAAAGCTGTGTTTAGGTAAAGATTTAGCCAGTGCCACTCGTTCGAGGGTTGAAGACTGCGTGGAGACTTGGAGGTCAGGCTCTGCTCCCTGGGAGAGGTAGCAGACTGAGGGAGAGGCTGTACCAGGCACGGTGACCGTGTCAGCAAGGCCACAGCAGGGACACTGGCCTTCTCTGACTGAAAGCGGATCGTGGACAGGCCTGAGTAGGAGAGGAGCCTAGTGTGGCTTTTCTCCTCCAACATTTCACTTTTAGAAACTTCTCTTTTGATTTGATTAATAAGTGAATTAATCTCAGCTTAATTTAGTGGACAGTGAATGCCTAGTGCATTGGGCCTGTGGAAATCTTGAGATCTTTGTGGAGAAGACAGACAAGGAGCAGTTAAGTATATGTGTGCTGGGGCCAGGTGGGTGGGTACAGAGGTGAAGAGGGCCTCCGTGCTCCTCAGCCCCACCTCTTCCGCTCCAAACCTCTGTAGTACAAAAGTGGCCACAGCCCCATCTCATAGATTTTGTTTCTTGCTGTGGCTTTGGTTGCCCTCTTCATCCTTTATCAAAATGACATTTTTAGAGCTGGGTGTGGAAGGGCACACCTGTTATCCCAGTGCTCTGGAGGCCGAGGCAGGACAATCGCTATAAATTTGAGGCTGGCCTGCATTACATAGTGAGTTCAAGACCAGCCTGAACTACATTAGCAAGACCCCATCTCAAAACAAAAACAACACAAATTTACATTTAAAAAAATTAACATGGGCTGAGGGTTTGGCTCAGTGGTGCAAGGCCCTGGATTGCATCCCTAGCACTGCAAAAGAAAATTAATGTTTTTGTTCAATTCGTAGTGGTGTATCCTGAAAATTAGGGTATTACGGAGAAGTTCTGAAATCCCCACATAATCTTTCTGCCCAGAGATAACCACCATTTCATTTTACCACATCTCCTCCCAGTTTTCTCTCTGTGTAGCCGCCCATCCCTTCTGCAGTTTCCACGTCTACAGGTTTAGCCAACCTCCGATGGAAAATACTTGGAAAGGAAATACTGACTGTCCTGAAAATGTGTAGTCTTCATCGTTATCACTATGGTAGAACAACTATTTACATAGCAGTTACATAGTGTCAGGTATTATAAGTACTCTAGAGATGACTTAAACATGTAGGTAAATTATAAGCAATATTATATTATTTGGGGGCTGGAGATACAGCTCAGTGGTAGTGCGCTTGCCTAGCATGCATAAGGCCCTGAGCTCCAGCCTTAGCACTGGGAATGCACACACATGCACGCACACTATTTTAAGTAAGGGACTTGGGCATCCACAGATTTTTAGTGTTTGAGAGAGTCCTGAAATTAATCCCCTGAGAATATTAAGGAAAAACTTAATGTATGTGGGTATTTTAAAAAAATATACCCTTGATCTCCTTCTTGCTTTCTTTACTCACCACGATGTGCTGGGTGTCCTCTTGTGCTTTTTACTGGTTGCACAGTGTCCTGTTATATGGATGTGCCCTATTATTTCATCAGTTTCTGATCGCCGCCCTAACTACTTTTTACTGATCTGGGCCACAGACCTCACTATGTTGCCAGGCTGCTCTCAAACGCCTTGACTCAAGCAGTCCTCCTGCCTCAGCTTCCTGAGTGCTGGGATTACAGGCGTGTGCCACCACGCCCGGCTGTCCTGGTTTCTTTAACTGCTCTCCTGCTCACCAGCTCTGCTCAGCCCCGGGACGTCTTTAAGATGCACTTGACGGAAACGTCAGCCTCTGTTTAGAAAGCCTTCATTCTGCCCCAGCCACTCGCCACCTGGCACCCGTCCACCTTTCGGCCCTGCGCCCTTCACCTGGGCACCTGCCTCACCTTTCCAGGGCCTGTTCTGCCTGCCTAGCTCCTCAGGCAGGCCAGGGGCACGTGCTGCACAGCAAGACCGCCCTGCCCGCCACGCTAGTCTGTGCTGCTTGGAGCTGTTGGGAAGATAGAATTAGACATAAGATATCCACCAGCCCAGAACAGCTCTCCATAGAAGTAGAAGGGGAAAAGCCTTTCATTACCGAATACAGGTTTAACGTGAGGCAGCATCTCGGGCTCCCTTACAGCTGTCATCACAGGCTGTCAGCGGGCTCCCTCCAAGGGAAATGTAACTGCTTGTGTCTTTTTGGAAAGCAGGATTTTTTTTTTTTTCAGACAGGGTGTCATGTAATTCAGGCTGGCCTTGGACTGGGGATTTAGCTCAGGGGTGATGCTGCCTGCCGTGCAAGTGCAAGGTCCTGAGTTCGATCCTTGGTACCCCCCCCAAAAAAAAAGCAGTTCAGGCTCACATGAACTCATGGCCGATCCTCCTGCCTCAGCCTGCATGTGCCACCGCACCCACCAGAAAGTTATATATTGAACTAAACCAGAGATAGGGAGATGGGAGGCCACCCTCCTCCACATCCACATCTCACAGGATGCCTTCATGAAAGATGTTCTCAGATGCAAAGTTGGCAGGAGGTTTATTTTCCTCTAAAAAGATGTCTGTGCCCTCAGAGCTAGGCAATTATTTATAATTCCAAGGTAGGCTGCTGGGGGTCCGGGGTCCTCTTTCCCTCTGGCACCAGGGAAATCTTTAATCATTTCTTCAGACTGTTTACCCTGCTCCTAACGTAGTATTGTCTCCAGTAGTCGGTCAGTGGACGTGTCAGTGACTGAGTCATATCCTGAGTCCTGGACTCCAGGAGCTGTGTCCATTTCTCAGTCCCATTAGTACCCACTTGAAGCTGCTCTTTTGGGAATTCGCTTGGCTGGATCCTTGTGCTCTCTGGCGGGGCCCTGTTTTCCTCTCTCCTTCTTCCATCTTGTGTCTCACATGCGCACCCTCTTTTGTGCCTCTGCCCTCGCGTCTTCCAGCTCCTCTGGTCCTTTTTCTGTCTACCTTTTTCTGAGCTCGTCTGCTTCTCCAGGTCAGCTGTCCACTGTGCATTCCACGGCCCTGCCTCCGCCTGCTCATAGGAAATTCTATTTTCAATCCGTGACAGAGCAGGGGCCTGCACCTGAGGTGGAGGAGTCCTCCTCCCTACAGCAAGAATTTTGCAAGGAAGAACCATGCCCGGAGGCAGTTATGGGGCAGCTGAACAGGCCCAGCCTTCCCAGTGCCAGCCTCAGCATGGCATGGGAGGCCCCGACAGTAGTGCGGAGAGACCAGGCTGTGCAGCGGGGGCGAGTGCCCGCCACCCTCGGGGACATCTCCGCGGAGCAGAGATACTGGGGACCCAGTAACTCCAAGGAGGGCTCCCCGCTCAAGGGCGCTCTGTTCACCCGGCAGACTGCCCCTGTGGGGGGCCGCTTCCCAGTGCCAGCCTCAGCATGGCATGGGAGGCCCCGACAGTAGTGCGGAGAGACCAGGCTGTGCAGCGGGGGCGAGTGCCCGCCACCCTCGGGGACATCTCCGCGGAGCAGAGATACTGGGGACCCAGTAACTCCAAGGAGGGCTCCCCGCTCAAGGGCGCTCTGTTCACCCGGCAGACTGCCCCTGTGGGGGGCCGCTCTAGCGAGTGCGGCAAGGCCTTCCCCTGGAGCACCAACCTCCTGGAGCACCGGCGCATCCACACGGGCGAGAAGCCCTTCTTCTGCAGCGAGTGCGGGAAGGCGTTCAGCTGCCACTCGTCCCTCAACGTGCACCAGCGCATCCACACGGGCGAGCGGCCCTACAAGTGCAGCGCCTGCGAGAAGGCGTTCAGCTGCAGCTCGCTGCTCAGCATGCACCTGCGCGTGCACACCGGCGAGAGGCCCTACGAGTGCGGCGAGTGCGGCAAGGCCTTCAACCAGCGCACGCACCTCACCCGCCACCGCCGCATCCACACGGGCGAGAAGCCCTACAAGTGCGGCGCGTGCGGCAAGGCCTTCACCTGCCACTCGTCCCTCACCGTGCACGAGAAGATCCACAACGGGGAGAAGCCTTTCAAGTGCACCGAGTGCGAAAAGGCCTTCAACAACCGCTCGCGCCTCACGCTCCACCAGAGGATCCACACGGGCGAGAAGCCCTTCAAGTGCGCCGACTGCGGGAAGGGCTTCAGCTGCCACGCGTACCTCATCGTGCACCAGCGCATCCACAGCGGGGAGAAGCCCTACAAGTGCAACGAGTGCGGGAAGGCCTTCAGCTCGCACTCCTACCTCATCGTGCACCAGCGTATCCACACCGGGGAGAAGCCCTTCGACTGCAGCAGGTGCTGGAAGGCCTTCAGCTGCCACTCGTCCCTCATCGTGCACCAGCGCATCCACACCGGGGAGAAGCCCTACAAATGCAACGAGTGCGGCAAGGCTTTCAGCCAGAACCACTGCCTCGTCAAGCACCAGAAGGTTCATTCCAGGCAGAAGTCGCTGAAGTCTAACAAATGTGGGGAAGTGTTTGGCTGGAGCGCGCACCTCCGGGAGCACCAGAGACTGCTGCACGCTGAAGAGCAGCCCGTTGCCGTCCAGTTCAACAGACACTTGCTGGGCACCTACTATGTGCCTGGTGGTCTGCTGGGCGCAGAGGACTCCGGGGTGAGGGGTGTGGACCCCATAAATGCAGTGGAAGTGGCAGAGCTCTTGTGCGTGGTGCAGCCCCCACCTAGCAGGAATTTTCCTCTGGGGAGGAAACCTGACAGTTAGGTGTGGTGCTGCTGCTTCACAGAAGAAGGCCTCTGCGCGGGCTGCCAGCCAGGGAGGCCCCGTGACCTCTCCTGGGCTCCTGGAGCCAGATCGCTCGTTCCTCCAGGTGCCGAAGCCTTGCACGTGACCCTGCTCGGATCCGCCAGCCAGGACCCTAGTGGTGGGACACACTTCAGGAGAAGGGACTCGAGGCCGTTTGAGGACATTCCATCGCCCCGTCTTCCTTGGCGGGTCTGGAGCTCACTGACAAGGGGCGTCTTGCCTGCTGATAAGAAGGTGGGTCAGCTGTTGGGTCCCGGGATGGGCTCCTGCCTGTTTTCAATCAGGAATCGCTTCTATAAACGTTAATGTTTAGAATAATAATAATAATAGTAATTAACAAAAAATTAACGTTCTAGTTCTTACTTCCATGTGAACACTGTTATATCCCAGGAGGGGAGAACAATCTTGAATGGTGAGCATTAGGGAAAAGTGAATTAATTGCCTGTGGATAGTGTCCCGTGAGCCGTCCTGCTGCACGGTCACTTGTTAATGTCATCTTGACCAGGGTTGGCCCTGCAGCAGTCTCAACATGGCCCTGTACCAGTGCACCAGGTCCTAACCTGCCAGGATCCCTCCTCGGTGTTTAGTCCCTGGTGGGAAGCTGGGAGTGCCCATCCAGAGTTGCCAAGTCCAGGAAGATGGGCACAGCCGGGCAACAGGTGTATCTGGAAGCTTGCCAGTACTGGCCAGGGCTGGGCAGGCTGGGCATTGTAGGCCACGGAGGCTGCCCTGCAGGGCCTCTCCTGGCACCACTTGGCTTAGATCAAAGTAGAGGCTGCACCACAAGGCTCAGGAAGGTGGTTAGTTCCACGGCTATCCTGCATGGGGCTATTATACAATATCAGAGACTGGTAACAAAAAAACGTGTCTACCACAAAACTTTTTTTTTTTCCTGCTGCTGGGGATTGAATTTAGGACCTTGCACTTGTGAGACAGGTGCGGCACCCCTGAGCTAAATCTCCAGCCCAGATGTATTCTTTTCTAAGACTCCATTGCATTCAGGTGGCCAAGTTCTGACCAACAAGGCTCCAGTGAATACTAGAGGTTCTAGGGAGAGCCTTCCTTTCCTGATAGAAGAACTGTTCCTTTCTCCTCCTCTCTCTTGCCTAGGGTGTTAGTGCAATGATGGGAGGTATAGTAACCATCTTGCAACCACACAACAACTAAGGACAAAAACTACGTACTAAAGATAGTTGAATGTAAAACAATGAGATCCTGGGCCCTTGATGAAATTTTAAAACTGTTGTTTCAGCCACAGACAACTTCCTGAGAGCTGGGTCTTTAGCTCCGTGGTTCTGCCACCTGCCTTGCAAGCACAAGGTCTCAAGTTCCATCCCTGGTATGAAAAAGAAAGAAAGAAAGAAAAGAAAAGAAACTGTTCTTTGGGCCCGGGATTTGGCTCGGTGGTTCTGCCACATGCCTCTGAAGCACAGGGGCCCGAGTTTGATCCCCAGAATCAAAAACAAATGAAAAACAAACAAACAAACAACAAACTAGACAACTTGCTGAGTTCTTGGTATGTAAGAAAAATGCACAGATTGTGTTTATTTGTTCCTCACAGTTGTTTCACTGCGGGCATTTGTGCCCTTCTGGCTCCAAAGGAGACACCTGTTGTCTCACTGACAGATGAAAGCCTGGGACTGATTGCTCACCATGTTAATGAACTCTTTATAGGCCTAGTTCACTAATATCTCCCCCCAATCAAGACCCGATAGATGCTGAACTGTACAAAGTACCTTCTTGCCATAACCCCCCAAAGCATAGCAATTTCTTTTTTTAATATGGAAATTTCATTGGCTGCATAAGATTTTCTAACACGATACCTTCTTTTTACATGGTGAATAAATGCCACTTAGCAATGATAATATAACCTTTTACTCCATGTAGACTCACTTTTCTAGGGTTTGGGTACAACAGGCAGAATTATGCGGAAGAGAGCCCATGATTTTCCTGAGGCTTTGCCTGCCAGGGAACTACATACACCTGGGGCAGGGTGGGCTTTCCTCCTGTACCTGCAGGAAGAGCTGTGCTCAATCTCGGCTCCTCACAGATGGCTGAGCGCCTCTGAAACCATTGTTCCTCCCCTTGCTCCAGATAAAGCAAATGGGACGGGGGCACCCACATGTGGTGTGGTGGCCAGGTAGGAACTCATGATGGCCCTGGTGCCTGGAAAGAAAATGTTGTGACTTATTAAAAATCACAAATGACAGAGTGGTGAGCATCTGACAAGGAGCCTCTCAGAGATGTGGTGTCCTGATGCTGGAAGGTGGTAGTGTGAGGAGGAGGAGGAGGAGGAGGAGGAAGGAAGTGGGTCCCGGGGAAGGATCTGAAGAGAGAATTGAAGTCCAGGGGAGAGTGAACAGAGAGAGTTCGATCAAGAGGAGTTGTGACAACAAGCGGCGCTCTCTCCCAGAGCCCAGACTAACCGTGAGGAAATGGTGGGTCAGACCTGCAGACACGTGGTGATCATGAGAAATGCACCAGTGGAACACAGCAGTGGACTGAGGAAATGGTGGGTCAGACTTGCAGACACGTGGTGATCATGAGAAATGCACCAGTGGAACACAGCAGTGGAACACAGCAGTGGACCTCAGTGGCTGGTGAGTTACTCGGGTTTAGATGTCATCCAGGAGAGGGCAGTTCACCAATAGCCATCTTGGAGAGGCATCACCTGAGCTCAACACTCCGTCTGGTGGCTCTCAGTGTCTCAGTGAGGTTGTCAAGTTCAAGTCCGCAGGAGGTTAGGGAGTAAAGTTCCAGTTGGAAGGATGGACGTCAAGCTCAGGCCAGCAGGAGGTAACAGACTGTTGCAGGCTCAAAAACCCCAGTTCCGCCTCATAGCCAGAAACCAGCCTAAACCTCAGTGGAACTAAAGATACAGGCCAGCCAGGATTATCCACCACCCCACTGAAAAGCTATGGCTGGCTTGCTGGGATTAATCAATTCGGATTGGAACTCTGTCTACACACGTTGTCTGCCAGTGACAGCAGAGATGCCTTGAATTGAACCTTTTAATTTTCCTTTTCTTTTTTCCTCTTTTCTGGTTCTTGTTTTTGATTTTTTTTTCTTGATTGTTTGAACACAGTTTCTGGGGAAATTGTTGTTGTTGGCAGTGGTGGTGATGTTCTGTTTTGTTCCGATTTTTGTTTCTCCCTTTCTCTTTGCCTACTGTCGTCTTCACCAGTTTCCCAAAATCTGTACCATCTTCCTTGGTCTTCCAGCCTTGCTTTGAGTCTCTTTCTCTCTTTTTTTCTTTCTCTTTTTCTATCTCTCTCTTTCCACCCTAACCCCTCTGAAGTCTTCTCCCCTAAGGGTAAAATCGCCATATTAAGGGCTTATTTATTGCATACAATATTGTGCTTCATTTTAGATTTTGTTATTTAAGCAGAAATCACACAGTGAAAGGTGGCAAATTAATAGTTACTACTGTGTCATTTTCTAAGCTGTATTTGATGCTATTGTTAGTTCTGATTGTACTACTTTAGCCAAGGTGACATAATTGTGCTAACGAATTACTCTTCCTGGTGACTGAGAGTGCCTAAGGGTCTTAAAAGTAAAACTATAGGCCAAGGCCAAAGAACTGGCAGCTGGGCCAGTGAGAGAGAATAGGTAGAACGCTTGAGGATGTAAGAGGAGGCGAAGACTTCATGAACAAAACCCGGACAGCATGGGAAATACTACAAAGAATCAGCAGCTGGGACCTCATCTTATTAAAAAGCTTTTGCACAGCAAGAGAAACCACCAGCAGAGTTAGGAGACAACCCATAGTCTGGAAAAAACATTTTTACCAGCTATTCATCAGACAAAAGACTACTATCTAGAATATATAAAGAACTCCAAAAAATCTGATGCCCAAAATTTAAAGGTCCAATTCAAAAATGGGCATCTGAAATGAATAGACACTTCACAGTTGAAGAAGTAGAAACAACAAATAAATATATTTTTTAAATGTTCGACATCACTGGTCATTTAAGAGATACAAATTAAAACTGCTGTGAGATTCCGTCTCCCAAAAAGAATGGCTGCTATCAGGAAATCAACCAACAACAAATGCTGGTCGGGCTGTGGGGTAAAAGGAACCCTTCTTGACGGTTGATGGGAGTACAGACTGGTGCACCCGCTGTGGACATCAGTGTGGAGGTTTTTTGTTTGTTTGTGATTGTTTGTTTTTTTGAGACGAGTTCTCATTATGTAGCTCAGGCTGGCTTCAAATTCACAGTGATCCTCCTGCCTCGGCCTCTCAAATACTGGGATTACAGATGTGTAGCGCCACAGCTGGCTCAGTATTTTTTTTTTTTTTTTTTTTTTTTTTTTT